AAGCTATCTCATCTGCCAATGGAGCTTACATCTAAAGAAGGACTGGGAAGGGTTGCAAGTTCCCTGGGTCGGCCTCTTTGTATGGATAAGTCAACTACCAGGGTGGAAGGCTGGTTTTGCTCATATTTGTGTTGAAGTAAAGGCAGCAGCGAAGAAAGTTCCTAAGTTGAGTGTAACTCCTTATGGTTTATCTGAAATTTTCATTGATGTTGAATACTGTCATATGCCTAAAGTCTATGAGAAGTGTAATTGTTTTGGACATACTTGTGCCGAATCTCCTGATCTTATTCCAAGAGTTTGGGTGAAGAAGGTACCAGTGATTGGGGAGGCTTCAGAAGTGCAGGAAGGTGCAGAGCAGTTGGTTGTAGTTCAGCCGTGGAAGAAACTCTAGAAGAGCAGCCAGAAGTGGGGAATGAGGCCAATCAAGGGAAATGTAAAGAGTTGGTAATTGTCCCTGATGAAGTTGTCATGGGGAGGGTGGCTGAGCAGCCTGCTGTGATATAAAAAAACACCATGTCCTCGTGGTGATATAGTTGATGCTTATGGAGTCACTCTGGTGGTGAGTATAAAGCAGAAGGTACGGTTAGGATCAGGTTCTAGCAGTCTATGGCAGCAGTCCAATTCTAGCCAGATAAGGAATAGAAGTACTTGTGTTGGTTTAGTCCCTCCTCCTCCTTCTCCATAAGGGAGAGGTAGAGTGAAGAAACGAGGAAAATAAAGATTCTTAGCTGGAATATCAGGGGTTTTAATGTCCCTGATAAATACTCAGTTGTTCTTGAACAATTGAGATTGAAGCAAATAGATAAAGTAGGCCTGTTAGAAACAAGGGTTCTGGAAGATGATAGTAATAAATAATAGCATGTGTGTTTTCTGCCTGGAAATATTTAGCTAACTATTCAAAATCCCAGTCTGGAAGGGTGTGGATTTTCTGGAGGGCAGGGTTGAATGTTTCTCGAGTTGAAGAGGAGGAGCACTTTATTTAAATTTTGGTTGAGGACAGTAAGCCGTTTATGGTGGTGTTTGTTTACAGTCCAAACAAGGAACTGAGAGGAAATGCTATATCAGGAGCTTATGCTTATAAAGGATAATAGTATTCCGATGGTGTTGCTACGGTATTTCAATGCAATTGCTGAGGTCAATGAAGCATCAAATGTCTAACAAATTACTCAAAGTATGCAGTATTTCCGAACTTGGATGGGTAATATGGAGTTGGTTGATCATAAGGTAGCAGGGACATGGTTTACTTGGTGGAATCGACAGAGAAATAACCCTATTGCTCGTAGAATTGATAGAAATGTTATGAATGAAACTTGGTTAGAAATTTTCCCTGACAGTTCTGCCCATACTAATCATCCTGGGGTTTCTAACCATTGTGGGCTGATTTTGAATACTTCTCCAAACCTACGAACACTTCCTAAGCCTTTTAAGTACTTCACTTTCTAGCAATCCCATCCCACTTACTTGGACATTATCAAGTCAGCATGGCAAAAACAAGTTACTGGTTATCCTTACTATATCTTTTATGGCAAGCTACAGCAGGTCAAGAAAGGGTTGAAGGGTCTGAATCGAGAAGAATACTCTGACATCTCAAACAGAGTCAAGGAATCAGCAGTAGAGTTGGAAAAAGCTCAGATGGAAGTGCTTACTAATCCTACTGAGGAGTTCATTGATGAAGAAAAGCGGGTTAGTAAGGAGTTCTTGGCATTGAAAAAAGCAGAGGAATTATATTATATGCAGAAGTCAAGAGTTCAGGTTCTCAAAGAAGGAGATTCTAATACTTCATTCTTCCATAAAACTGTTAAGGTAAAGATTCAAAAGGCAACAGATAACTCGCATGTTGAATGAGCAAGGTGAGGTAACAACAGATATTCAGCAAATTGGGGCAGTTGCAGTGGATTTTTATACAAAACTCATTGGTACTGAGGACTTGAATGTAGAACAATAGTATGTGGCTTACTATTAAGTATTAAGAACTTTTGCAGCATAAGCTTTCAATTGAAAACAAGGAATTGCTAATGTCTGGTATCTCAAGGGCTGAAGTAAAGCAGACATTTCTTAAGTTTGGAAAGGATAAGGCTCCATGGCCGGATGGATTCCCTTTTGAGTTCTTTACAACTCATTGGGACATTATTGGTAGAGAAGTTGAGGAGGTACTGTTGGATTTCTTTTCCACTGGTTTTATGCCATCTATAGTGAACAATACTATCTATACCTTGGTAGCAAAGATCCCTAGTGATGAGAAAATGAATAACTTTAGGCCTATTGCTTGTTGCAACACTCTTTACAAAGGTATCTCGAAAATTCTTGCAAATAGTTTAGCTCTTTTGCTTCCTAGTGTTATTAGTCTATCTCAAAGGCCCTTTATTAAAGGTAGAGCAATAAGTGACAATATTTTGTTAGTGTCTGAGCTTGTGAAGGACTATCATCGAAAGAACATTACTCCCCAGATGTGTGATTAAAATAGACATAATGAAAGCTTTTGACTCTGTAAATTGGGGCTTTCTTTTTACGGCTATGGAAGTTATGGGATTCCCTGATGGATATCTAAAGTTGTTGTCTGCTTGTGTCACTAAACCAACAATCAAGGTGTCTGTTAATGGTGGTCTGTGTGGTAGTATTCGAGCTTGCAAAGGTCTAAGACAGGGAGATCCATTATCTCCCTATCTTTTTATCATTGCAATGGAAATCCTCCATTGTTTGGCAAGTAAGGCAATCCAGGACAACCAGATTCCTTTTCATCCTAGATGTAAACCCCTCAAGATTACACACTTGTGCTTCGCGAATGATCTGATGATGTTCACAAATGGATCTATTAGGCGTGTGGCATGTATAAGAAGGTTAATGAACTGGTTTTATAAGCTATCAGGGTTGAAGTGTAATGCTTCCAAGTGCTAGTTATATTGTGCAGGGATACCACAGGAAGAGAAGCAAGCTATTTCTGATTATACTGAGTTTCCTCTTGGTGAACTTCTTATCAAATACCTAGGTGTTCTACTCATTTCTGGGAAGCTTAATCGATAGGATTGTCAAGTCCTTATTGACAAGATTACACAGAGGCTTCGTAGCTGGAGATCTAGACTGTTAAACTATGCACGCAAAATTCAACTGATATCTACTGTGATTGCAAGTACACTACAGTATTGGCTCAACATTTTTCTTCTGCCTCAGTACATTATTAAGGAAGTTGAGCATTTGTGTAATGAGTTTTTGTGGGATTCTGCTAAGAACGGGTCCAGAAAGAGAGTTTTCATGTCTTGGGATAAGATTGAACTGCCTAGGAAGGAGGGGGACTGGGAATTCGCAATTTCATTATGTGGAACAGAGCTTGTATGCTAAGGCACATTTGGGAAATCCTGACATCAGGAGGGTCATTATGGGTTGGGTCACCAGATATAGGCTAAAGCAGAAGTCCATCTAGAAAATCTCTGGTTCTTCTGCTGGCACTTAGATTTGGAAGAGATTCCTTAAATGCAGAGACTTGGCTTACCCCTTCATTTCTAACAATATTCCTCATGTCCTTTGGGAGGGGGAAAAGATGCAGCGATACTCAGTGACTAGGTTATGGAACTCTATTCGAACTCATGAGCAGGAAGTGCCCTGGTGGAAAATTGTCTGGGCAAAGGAGAATATTCCAAAGCATGGATTTATCCTATGGTTAGCTTTGCGTGATAAGCTAGTCACTCTGTACAAGCTTTTATCGTGAGGGAAACCATTAATAGGCCATTGTTTGCTCTGTCCATGAGGTATTGAGAATATGGATCATCTATTGATTTCTTGTTCTTATACAAGTTGCGTGATGAAGCAGTGCTTGAAGAGTCTATCTCCTCCCACTGAAGGGGACTGGGACAATATGGTTGCTTGGTGTGTGCAGCATTGGAGGGGGAAGAAGCCAAGCCAGGTTTTATGCAGGTTGGTTTGGAGCTCGCTAGTTAGCCATGTCTGACGGGAGCCTTGTACCCGTTTGTATGGAGCAAAGGGAATTAAAGCCCACGGGAGTTAGTGAAAGTGATAAACACAAAATTTTGTACAATGTTTCTGGGGATTCTGCTCTCCAGTCTGAGTTAGACCATATATAAAGCTTATAGTTGATAGATTCATAGAGTGGTAACGTTTTTGTTTACTGGTTGTAAAGGTTTAGAGGCTCATCAGGTTTTTTTTCTTCTGATGTTAGCCAAAGCTTAATGAAAGTTGTTTTTATTTCACATAAAAAAGAAGTATACAAAGAACAACATAAAGTATAAAAACTAGACAAACAAATATTACAAATTAAAATGTATACAAATTAGCCATATAAACATTACAAACATAATAGATAAAAATAACAAACTAGAATTATAAATGATACAAAATGAAATGATACAAAATCACAAAACATACTTACAAACATTACAAAATCGTCTGACAAACATAACAAAACAGACGTTGTCGTCGGAAAATCTCTCATCGCCGTCATCGAAAAATTCATCGATGACGAATCTATCTATCTCTCTCTCTCCCTCTCTCTCTCGTTTGGGAACCTAGGGGAAATTCCCTTAAAAAGGTGGCCGGCGGCCGGGGTGGGGAAATTATTCTCAGGGAATGACCAAAATAAATCCATGCTTCTATAGGGGAAATCGCGACAGCAATTTTCCCGGCGTGAAGGTTATTTCTCGCGGGAGGGAGCTCATATTTTTTATTTATTATTTTAATTAATAAATTAAATAATCATTATTACTATATTGCTCTTCATTAAATTGAATTAATTGGAGCCCTTGATTTTAATGAAGTGGAACCAGATCTTAGCTCGCGCGGGGCAGCTGTACTATTGGTCTCTCACTCCTCCAGCATATGGGCTCAGGCCACAAACTGAGAGGCCGGTTCAATTATGGGCCGAGATACCCAGCTTTCAGCTCTGCTTTGGGTAGCAGAGCCGGGCCCATAAATATTTTCCCTCTTCCCTCTCTCTCTCTCTACTCTACAATTCGTTTTACAGAGAATCAATTTGTCATTTCTCTGAGGAGCCAAACAACCGGAGAAGGAAGAAAAATGAGCAGCCTATCAATCGGTCCGTTAATTCAGTTGGGATACAACAGTCGCCGTCTCCCTGGCAATCGAATCAGAAAATCCATCGGAATCCGAGCGGACGGCTCCCCAGCGAGCAAAGATCAGCAGGAGCAGCTCAACGTCTCCGTTCTCCGCTTCACATTCGGTAAGTAGAACCAGTCGTCTGTTACCTTTAGCTCTTCTCCTGGCTGCTACTAATGGCTGGCTGGCTGGCTGGCTGACTGGCTGACTGGCTTGATAGGCATTCCTGGATTAGACGAGACCTACCTGCCGAGATGGATAGGATATGGATTCGGATCACTTCTTCTATTGAACCACTTCGTCGGCTCCGATTCCGCCGCTACCTCGGCACAGCTGGTAAGCGATTGATTTGCTCTTTTCTCCCCGCACGTTGAATTGTTAGTGCCGGAATTCTTCTGGAACTATGGGATGGTGGTGCAGGTACGGATTTCTGAGTTTGGTTCTATGGTTTTTTTTTTTCTTCTTTTCTTTAGAGGACGGAGGGTTTGGGGCTTTCCTTGGCAGCTTTCTCCATCGCTCTTCCTTACTTAGGCAGATTTCTCAAGGTGATTTTGCTTCGTCTTGTTTTCTGTATGCTGTTAGCTGGAATTTACTTAATCACGTGTGTGTTGTGAATCTCTCGCGGGAGTAGGGTGCCACTAGAGTGGACCAGGTGGCTCTTCCTGAAGGTGCTCGGCAGATTTTTGTAATGTCGCCTGCCATTTCTGACGATGAGAAGGAGGAATTTGCTTGGGGGAGTTATGTTTTGCTGCGTAATACGAACACCGTAGCTGTGGTAGGTTGCATTCCGAGTTCAGCGGGTGAAAGATTGCAAGCATATGGAACACTAATTTCTTTGGTTTCTGTTCTCCTACATATGTAGCTGATATCAATCAAAAGAGAATTGTGTGTTCGTGGGTACTGGAATGTGCCGTATGCTGAGGATGCTGAAAAAGCTCCTGTTCTTGATTGGTTCCGGAGACAGATTGAAAATATCGGTTTAGGAAACTTGAAAGACGTCCTATATTTTCCCCAGGTGCCAGGTAAACTGTGAACTAGATTCTTTGTTTTATTTCCTGGTTTCCTTTTTAGGGTGGAATTCCAAACCCCAGTATCAGTATGGTGAATTGGTGATGTCTTGTATCAGGATCTGAACTCTGGGAGATGCTACCCAATGGGACTCGGTCACTGCTGGTGGTGCCGGTGCTTCAATCTAGAGATCAAAGTGGCAATGAAATAGTAAAGAACAGAGGGTTTGTTATGTTGGCTTCGAACATTGAGTATGCATATACTGAGAAAGACCGAGCGTGGATAAAAGTAATTGCAAACAAGTTCAGAGGTGAGAACGCTTGTTCCAAACTCTGACATATGTTAATTGATTTTCAGCATCAAGTCAGTATAAATGTTGGATCGATAGCCAACAATGCGTGCTTCTCCTGCCTTTTTGTGAATGGCATGTTGCTGGATTGTGATAGCGCAGCTTTATAAATGGAATGGTCAGCTTAAACAGCAGTGGAGCATCATCCTTAGTTCAGAATCACTGGTCCTTAATACTTCTCTGTGATAGTGCAGTTTTATAAACGGTCAGTTTAAACCTCAAATGCCAATAACTGGGGAGGTTGAACCAAAATTTTCGAGGATCAAAGGAACCTTGAATCTATCATGTTTAATTGCCCCTCTTATCCAACACGTTTCGCTAGTGCGGAACAGATATAGATTTAATATACTCATCTCTCTACTAAACAGTATCCTCTTCTCTGCTGTGTTCCCTTTTTGAAAAAGCCCAGTCTACAGAAGACATGTTTTCTTCAACTGCTTGTTTGCTTCCAGTAATGAGGGAACTTTACTAGTTTCCTACAAAAATTTCTCCAGGCCGTACACTAGATTCTGCCACAATAACAATATGATGGTGTTACTAAGCAGTACATCATTGATAGCACAGCATCTCAATAGAGCAGTAGAAAGTAGAGAGGATTTTACCTTAAGACGGATCACCTTTCTAATTGCCAAGATTAGACCAGGCATAAGGCTCTGCACCCCTGTTATGTCATGCTTGACGGAGTAAACCTGTGGGTTTAGGAACATGAAGTCACATGTGTCAAGCTACAGATGCATTCGCATAATAATGTTTCTGATGTTTGACCAGATACAAACCTCTCCTGGGCCAGAGAAGTAAACTGTTGTGCTGGAAGGGAGCCCTGGTAGTACCATACTGTGCACCCTGACCCCATCTTCTCCAAGAACTTGTCCCCTTGCCTATGTAGGATCAAATGCAAAGGAGTAGTCTACTCATTACTAATTTTAGACTAGACATCACAGCATATGGATTCAATGATCCATAAAATCTCACTTGGTTCTGCCATATTTGTCGCCAACCAAGCAACATTTTAGTTTCCATTATTGTGATTGATATAAAACACTTTTCTAGTTTTCTTTTTATCTTTTACCATCATTTCCAGCTGGTACTATAAGCGAAATGAGGTTTTCAGTACTTGTTATCACTGGTATCTGTTCTGTTTTTGTTTTGAAATTCAGCTTACCGCAACATCTGTTGTTATATCTCCCTTGTTGTAGATCTGCCCCAGGTTGGAGAGGTTTTTTGCAATTTGGACAGCATCTGCTGATGGAAGGTCCTGCACGAGTGAGACACATTTACATTATTCACTACTTCTTGCACGAGGTCGGTGTTCGTGAACCTTATTCTGTCTTCTGGATAAGGCTTGGAAGTGTTTTATTCATCGACAAGCTTTGCTGTATTATTTACTATACTAGCATGGCTTATGTTGGTGTTAATTACTGAAAACATACTGTTCTTACAGTTGCATCTGCTGCTGATTCCAGGATTTCTACATTGTTGTAGTGGAAGGAAGCTGAAATAGCTGCTTGCTGGAGGAGAATCGATCCGATTGATAGAGTTGGCGCAACCAGGCATCCCTGTAAGTTTGCAAACCACAACTTGAAGTCTTGAATCCAAAGCCACAAAACTTGATATTAACTGCAGAAAGTACCAACCACAAAATAAAATATGAACATTTTCTCACCCTGTGCTCACCATGCTGGCCTTATCACAGAATGCTGACAATGCCCCTACGGTGTCTACTTTAATCCGGGGCACATACACCACACTTCTCATCCCAAATGCCGTCGCCTGGTATGCAAAATTCGATCGCAACTTAGCACTTAAACACCTACGCCGTAACCACAGTCTAAAAGCTCTCTCCTTTGATTTCACAGTGCAGCGAAGTTCATGGAAAAGAGAGCAAAAATACCTGCTTGACATTATCGTAAACCGTGGAAGGATCAGTGAAGTCAACAACCACTCCTGTCTCTTTCGACTGCCATAATATGCAGAAAGCTTCTTATCATCATCAGTTCTTCACTAGCATTTCTCATTCATGGATATGAACGAATGGACAAACAAGACAATCGCCATTTTACCTGAGATATGGAACCTAGAACCATGGTGAGATCATTTATCACTGGTATTTCCAGCGGTTCTTCCATGTCACAGAGCTACCTCCGGAAACACACAAAAGCGGGATGAAAATTCCTTCCTCCAATTCTTTTGCCATTGCCGAAGAAGGGAAAAGAAAGAAAAAACAGTGAGGAAAAAACCTTTCCAATATCTTCTCCGACAAATTGTTTGTCAACAGCACCAGCAACTTCCATCCCTCTGGCTTTGGTAACTGCCAACACAGCTGCCCTCCCTATCTCTTTTGCTGCTCCATTGATCACTACCTGTTTTCCTTTTTCATTCATACACTAAATACTAAAGTGGAAAAAGGAAAGATTCATTCTTTTTTTTTTTTCTCTCCTGTTAATAACAACCAACCCATACCTTGATGTTGCTCTGAGTAGGCTGAATCGAGCAGGAGACAGAAGAAGACCTGGATTTCACATTCTTGGAAACTCTATGAAACGTGAACTGAAAATGGCAGCTCAAGGATTCCATAGCTTCTCCCTCCTTAAGCTGAAAATGGGTAACCTGCCACTCGATAGTCTTCTCTCTCTCAGCTCTCAGAGTAGCATGTGCTCTTGTGGTTCATTCTTGTTCGTGTTGGGATAAGGTTATTATTATTTTTTATCATTTTCACCAGTTTTTTTTTCCCCCCCTCCCTTCCCTTGCTTGTTGTGGATAGGGGACCTTGTTTGGAGGGAAATTGGGGGGACAGTGACTCGTGGATGCTGGCATGTGCAAATGGGAGACATGGGCGGCAAGTACCAGTTGGATTCTGTTTTTTTTTTTTTTTTTCTTCTTTCTTTATTCCCCTTTTTTAGCGCCTTACTATTTCATGAGTGTCATTTTCTGGTGCCAAATTCATTGCTGGCTGGCTGTAGTTAACATGGGAGGAGAAGAAGAAGAAGAAGAAGAAGAAGAGGCACTGGAGAGACACGTGATTCAATCCAGGCTTCAATCCTTGGTCGTCTCAACACTGTTCATTTCCTTCAGTGCCCCAAAAGACGCCATCAAATTCAAGGCTCCATCGCTCTCCTGGGTCATGATGCTAATTGGAGCCAATAATCGAGAGCCCCTTATCTGCTGACGACGCAGCAACGAAAAGGTGAAATCTGCGTTGCCCTTATCTTAAACAGAAGAAATAATTGAAGTTTGAAGTAGCAACAACGAGGGGGAGGCGATGAATTATGGAAAGACAGTAGGGTGACAGACAGTTTTCAACATTTTTGGCGACGACGGGGAATGAATATTGGCTGGGCCGGCTTCTCTTATTGCGCCATGGTGGGCTCTTCCGCCGGCTGGATTTGATGGAGACGGTATTCCAAGGTTAGATCGTAAAATCATACCATGGTATTCCACCCTATGATTGTCCAGTCTTATACTTTTTTAGGATTGTAAAATCATACCATGGTTCGGTATAATTCACCAATGAAAGGAGTGAAAAAGGAGGAACGTTATAGGATTATCATGATTCACAGAGACGATGATTAGTTTTGGTAAAAGGGTCAATTGTTTGTCTATTCTTAGTAGGTTTTCAGTGGGGGATTTAATTTAAACATAATTGATCGGGACAGCACATTAAGGGCACATAAGGGTAATGATGGGGAAAGGAAATTTTAGGGCCAAAAAAGGCCAATCTGGGTAGGGTTTGCTTCATGATAATTAATTATTTGCAGGAATATCATTTTGATTTGAGTCACATTATATTACAAATCCTAGCTAGGAATTGCAAAAACTTTGTGCTCTCATCTCCTCCTCCTCCAACATAACATGATATCTATATGATTATCTCTTTCTTGATTCTCATTTCACTTTAACCCACATTTCGTGTCTTTCATAGTTTTGTTGCTCTCAATTTCTTTACCCTCCAAGTATCTTACCAAACATATTTGCGGACCGAGGACACTCCTAAAATTTGGGAAGTTATCGATTCACTGCCAATAATTTGAATCTGGGAAAATAGGTAGTAGTCTCTGTGATTTGGATCGGTGTCACTATAGTTATCAATGTACATATTTTCCGTGATAATGCATCTGTCAAGGTTTATCAAACAATGTGCACTGTTGTTACATTCTTACCACAGTATAATGCATCTGTCATACCTGTAGATTATACAACTTCATAACCGATTATTTAGTTCCTTTTTTTTATGTATTGAAATCAAAGTGCAACAGGGCACCCCAGCTCGTAGTATTAATCAAAACGGGACTCACAGACTCTTTGAACATCACAATATAGGCAATATAGCATTAGAACCTCACATTATTACAATGAAGATTAAGACCCAAATTAGCAAGAAAACCATCTGCATAACTGGCTTCACGGTAGGTATTAGGAATGGCAATGGGGCAGGTCCAGGGCGGGTTTCTTGGTACCCAGACCCGTCCCGTGGCAGGTCGGGTCCAGGTCGGGTAATTTATCACGGGTCACAGGTCGGGGCAGGTCGACCCAATGGGTATTCAATTTATATGAAAAATATTAGAAATATTCGTTGTTTTTATTATAAGACCAAGGAAACAAACAATATTATGAGAAATATAGTTAAATTATTGGAGAAATTGAGGTTTTCACTAATTTACGTCTTTATTATAGCAAAGATTTGATGTAATAAAAGAGAAATCCTAAGTAATTTGACTAAAATTACGTGTAATTTAGGCAAGAACGGGTCGAGAATGGGGCGGGTCAGGACAGGTCGGGTCGATGAGAGTACCCATACCCGCCCCAAAACAGGTCAAACAGGTCGGGTAAAACGGGTCAGGTCAAAATTGCCATCCCTAGTAGGTATAGTTGTTTCGGACTTCCCAGCCATGACTACGATTGATGAGCAGTTTGAACCGACGAGTGAGTTAGATCATAGATGACATTGATAGTCATATCTATCGACTATCGATATCATGTTGCAATAACGATGGTTGTACTTGATTTAGTCCATATATTTTTATGTATTACTCGTTATTATTAGATTAATCATTCCATGCTTAGGAGGGAGAGAACATAGGATTACTATTTATGTTGATTGTTTAAGACAGACTGTTTAGTTTATATTTTATCCACAATTGACAGGTGAACTATAGCTAAGCTAGGGAGATCTATTGGAGGAAATAATTTTGACTTTGGAGATAAAGAGATAATACTACTAGCATTACACTTACACTACACGTCAATCCTGTAATTGCAAATGGACGGCCACTTTCGAGTTAGTTATAGAGCAAAGGATATATTTTCTATCACTATTACCCCCCATCAAATATCACTTTCCATTGTCATTTCACTTGATTATTGATGAAGATATTCAAAATATTTAATGAAGTTTGAACTAGTAAAATTTTTTGGGGAGAAACAACGATCATTAGTAACCGTTATGGTACTAGACTGGTAGTATTACAAAGCTGGCCAATGACAACATTGTGTAGTTCATGAGTGTGATAAATCTCCTTCAAGTAACCGTTATATTATTAACCACGGGCACCAACACTAATACGACTTGTCGTACAAGAGTATACTAAATGAGTTTTCCCTGATTAATTTTTCATGTTCGTACAATTTAAGTTGAAAATGTTGTTTGGACGAAACAAACTCCTCTCGTTTATACTTTATATATTTGAAACAAATATTCATACAAGATGTCAATGAAAAGGAGTCAGAAATCTGAACGAGAGAGGCTGATTTGAACTGTGATAATTGGAGAGAGAGAGAGAGAGAGAGAGAGAGAGAGAGAGTTGAGACCTTATCGATTTCACCTATTTCAAAGTTGAAGGGGATTATGACCTCTTATAACTTCAGCCTAGTTCCGCCAGTACGAGATGTTACAACTTCGTAAACTATGAAAACCCACAACACCTAGAAATTTTTGCTCACTAGAAGTGACTGAACCCCATTGAATTGGAAAGTTTGTTCATCCTTCAACTTCATGGTGAGGTACCATCAACACTACAAAATAAGAATTTGTTAGTAACTTAAAGCTTAAGAAGTGAAGAGTATGGTGTTAACCAAAATAAAAGGGGAAGATCTGGTATCAGGTCATCGACTATGGAACTTTCCTGTAAAAGGAAAGGTTAAGGAAGTGTCCATTTGAACTACCATCCATAGCATAAATTAAAACTATCGTAGCAAACTAATTAAATTAATGAGGCCATAAGAATTGGTTGTCTGTATTAAGGTCATTGATCGAATAACCGTTGTTTTTAATTTATTATAAATGTGAATAATAATATTAATCAAAGTTGGGATAATGGGCTCCTCGAATTGTTGGTGTTGTTGTCTTTGGTTCAACGTTCTTTGAACTGAAAATAGCAAAAAAGACGTAATCCTCGAAACAATGGAACAGACAACAGGTTCCTTGCTTGCTCCTCCCTCACTGCCCTATTACATTGCATTATATTAGATGGAACATTATTATTATATTCAGATCTAAACGTCGAAATTATCACCAAAAGGAATTCAATTAGCCATAATTTCATAACTTAAAGTCGTGATTAAAAGAGAATTAATTAAGTTTTAATCCCAAGTCCAAAACGGAGGGACAAGAACATACAACCACGTGCTGGCTGTTTTTGACCAAGTCACATGAAACCATTGGCGACCCAACTGGTTTCTGTAAAATAAAATTGATGTTCAAGAACAACCCAGTTTGTTCCAGGTTCTTAGGTTCCTAATCCAACAACAAAACCTGCCCTTTTAATTAAATCTTCTAACTGACCACTTAATTTTTTTTTAATTATAGCACTTCTCATTGATTAACTCTCTTAATTTCTATTAGTTCCCCTCCCAACCCTAGGGGGGATCGGAGGAGTATTTTGTGTTTTTTTTTTAATTTATTAGCTCTGTTTGTCTGGTAATTGTCACTTGGTAATGAATAAAAAATCCCAGCTTTTTTTAAATTTGTTTACTTAATTATGATGGAAAATTGTGATATATGTTGTACATTTTGTGGCTATATATCCAAGTTAGCTTGGTAGACAGGGGAATATATTGTTGTTAGCGGTATAGCTAGCAAGGTTGCAGGAGAATATGCATAATATTTTTTTTAATTATATATATATATAACATGATTAGTAGGGTTGTTAGCTGTAGCTAAAACATGGATCTGCCATTGAAAATTTTAATGTTCTTCGTAACAAAGGTCGATTACTTCATCTTCATGATATATACTATGATGAATTAATATTGTAGTTAGAGAAGAGAGAATGTATATCCATTTCTTCTTGTTCGTCTTTGGTAGAAAGCAAAAGGCAATGGTGTTCAAAGATTACAAGGTCTATCAGCTACCCAATATGCAAATGTTTTAAATGTTTTTTACAATACTCAATCGGTTCTGACACCCACACATACTAACTTGATCATTTAGAAACATTCTTTAATTTCGAACAAAATATATATCAATAGTTTATTGCGCAATATAGTGTCGTGTCACGAAGAGCCAATACATAACTCAATCAGAGTTTAATTAGTCTACCTAGATTTTACACAAAATATGCATGGGTAGTTCGAAAATGCATATTGTGTAAATGCGATATTTGTTGACAATTACCACGTTTCACAATATACCAACACGTAAATATCAGTCTGGATTATCACGTTTCACAATATTTTGTACGAATCTTATACCAACACGTAAATATCAATTTAGATTACCAATTCACACGTGCATGTTCTGCACACTTTCCTCTATACTCCGGCAGGCGGCAGTCCCCCCAACCATCCCTAATTTTCTGTAATCAACACAAGAGTAAAAGGAAACTGACTTTTTGTGTTTTTTCTAGTATAGGGACAAGAATTAATTAACAACCGACAAATCAAGATTATGTATCATCTGCGGTTTAATGCAATGAACTTAATTAATCAAATCCCCAGTCCCACAACATCATTTTGCACGAAATTTCCTTCTAATCGGATCAGTAGGAGGTTACACTGTCTTAATCGTAATCCCATCCCACCGGCCTTCTCCAATCCCATCCCGGCAACCACCCAATCGCCGGAGAACAGTCAAATACCATCAACTGGCACGAATCGACGGAGACTGCCACTGCCTCCATCGCACGTGCGAGGGCTTCTTCGTCCTCCGGTCGAAAAGTTACCGCGTTCGGGGAATTTTGAATTTTTCACCGTCACCCAAGCCAAGCGTGCGGCTCATACGTGTGGAAGTGTCGGTGGAATAAAATCATAACTGGAGAAGAGTGTCCGTGTTGTACGTAAAAGGCAAACGCACAGAGATTAATCGAAAGTCAGAACAGTGAAAAAGGTGAAAAGAAAGATTACACAAGACAAGACCGTGAAATCGAAGGAGGGACCCTAGATTCTGCCTGCGTGCTGATTTTGAGTCCACCGATGCTCGCCACGTGGAATTTGACTGCCCTAGCCCGTGACGTCAACTGTTGCTGGTGACTGGCGAAAGAAAGAAACGGAGGGAGGGGAGAGGAATTTCTCGAACTCTGCTACTGCTGCTGCTGTTCCTTTTTCCGGTTCTGAGCTCTCTGAGTTTTTATTTATCTATTTTAATTTTATTTCCCAGTAGTTTTGTCATCTTAGGAGTTTACAATATACTGGAACAAGAGAGCACAGCCACCCGTA